AACTTCGCTTTGTTTCTTATTTTTTCTGCGTGATGACTAATGTTTATTCTCCGTTGAAGCGATAACAGACAGATTTTTTTTCTTTCTTTTCTATTTTGAGTAATTATGGGTAGTTTGCAATGGGTGGGGTCGGAAAGAATAAGGATTTTCATATTTTTGAAATATTCATCGTTCAATCCCCTAAAAAAACCATTTACAATGGATGTTAGAGAGATAAAAGTAAAAGAGTCATTGCTGTGGTACGAACATGTAACATCGACAACTTTCAAGCACAAAATACCGTTCTTTTGTATTTACGTGTTTTCACATCGAATTGTAGACAACATTGTGCTACTCATTTTGTAGAACTTCAAAAGTTCTAAATTATGAATATGTTCACGAATTTTCATAAAGAAATCTTAGAGCATAAAACAGACGTTAAATAATCGTTACTTTTTCTTCAAATTTACAAAAAGGGAGTCTTTTTTTTTTTCAAATCAGTAACGTTTATTTAGTTCTTATTTTATGCAATAACATTTCTTTATGAAAATTTTTGGATATACTAATATAAGATAGGACTTTTGAAGCTCTACAAAACCGATACTACAATATGTCTATATAGTTCGACATAAAAGCACATAAATATAGGATAACGGTATGTTGTATTTGAAAGTTTTTGATATTGTATGTTCCCATGATTACTATAGTAAATATTTTTGCTTGTTCTTATCTCTATCATACCCTATTTTTGTGGAGAATCAAATCAGGAATCTTTTGAAAAAAAATTCAGTTCGATTTTGAGAAAGCTCTAAAAGGTATTGTATGTAATGAAAATCTAGAACAGAATATTATTGTACATTTATTTTACAACAGCAAGGTATATAACAATGAAATTGTTTTAAATCTTGAAGTAAGAAAAAAACATCCTATTTTTCTTTCTACCAAGCAATATATACTCTAATGTACCGCGAAAGTGTACTGGGAATATGGATAAGCAGACATTTGCCAAATGATTGAGGGTGGGGTGTTGGTGGCTGTCGATTACACGACACTTCCGCGCAGCGACACCACCGCGCGCGACACTTCCGCGCCAAATGAAGTTTTCTATTTTTTCTGTGTTAAGTTAATACATCTTCTAATATTTTATTAACTATTCTGCTAGTGAGGCTGCAGAGTTTCAGTGTGAGTGTTGGAATGGAACGAAGGCAACTGGGACTCTAGTGCCTGCAACCACATCCCAACATCCAAATTCACTCCAGAAACCACATCTGAATTCCAGCTCCACATATGAGCGCACATCCACATCAAGCCACACGCACACTTCACAGCCTGAGTCCACACCCACAGTCACATCGATACCTGTAATGCCAGAAGCACTACCTACCAGGGTGTGAGTGTGGGTGTGGGTGTGGGGGTGGGGGTGGGGGTGGGGGTGGGCGTGGGTGGGTGTGGGTGTGGGTGTGGGTGTGGGTGTGGGTGTGGGTGTGGGTGTGGGTGGTGTGTGGGTGGGTGCGGGTGGAGTTGGAGTGTGGGTGTGGGTCTTATCTTCACACGCACCCACACCCACATCCACACCCACCCACACCCACACCCCCACCCTCCACCCACACCACAGAGATGGGCAGCTCTGACCATTTCTCGCTTCAGCTCCAGGCATTTAGGAGTCGCTTCGCTCCGACTCCGCTGTAATAAAATTTTTTTTTGCTGTTTTTGTTGAAGTTTGACGATGTGTAATAGATTCGATGTTTTGTTCCAACATATATATGTACAAAATATAGACAAAACAAACTAATTCTCGATATATTCAACTTAGCCTGATTATAGGATCTAGATTATTTGCATTGTCAAATAGACTAATGAACTACAGCAAATGTTGATTGCGTTTTAGTGAAGTAAGCATTCCAAGCATATTCTTAGTAAGTCGACTGTGATGAGGATAGATAGTATGCCGCTCTAGGAAAACACTCTTTCAGCTAGAACAGAGACAATCAGTGCAAGTATGGATAAGAAGATGATTCATTGAAGCCATTGTCTTGCTCAGTTAACGATGACGATTGGTTACACAATTGTTTTTTTCCATAAAAAAGTTTGTTCATTCGAGACATTTTTTCTGTTCAGTCATTGCTTACTTCTCATACATCTCATAATATTGAATTTCCTCTCTGCATCAACGTCGTATTCCGAGTGTGAGTGTGGATATTTTCTTCTTCACACTGATGCGTATCTCGTATCGATACAGATACTCACACTCTGAGTCAAGCAAAAATGAATTAAGTTCCGTTTTTCATTAAAAAAAATGCTTAAATAATAATACGAACTAGAGATTCAGGACGAAAATTGTATAGCAATACATTCTAGTTCGATTCTCAAAAACGCGTTGGAGAACTTTTGAATTAAAACATCACATACGTATCTTCAGCACTACATTTTTGTATTTCATCGTTTTCTAGCCTGGCAATGTTTTGAGAAGGATATTGCGCATGATTTAAACATTAGACAACACTAAAAAATATTCTTTTCTATATTCACCTTGATTTATTGTCTGGTTTTTAACAGTAAAAAATACGACGTAGCAAAAGGACAATTATTCCTTCTTACTAATGTGAAATCAAAATTAAAAAAACTAGTGCAATATTTTTTGAATAACTTCTGGCACAAAACCGATAGAGAGTTTCGGTTTTCTCGTTGGAAAGAGGAGATAAAAACGTGTCGAACTGTATATTATAAAATACTTTGATGGAGTTTTTTTTCCAAGGACTTAAGTCAACATCTTGAAAATCTGTGTACTCTAGTAGGAACTCAACTGAATTTTTAGTAATCAAGCGCGCATTATAACTGCTAATCGACAATCTACAAAACTGTGCACGTTCTAGATTTTAAAGCTTACTCGCTCACAAGTTATTTAATTTAAAAAAAAAATGTGCTTAAGAGATAAGAAAGCAGTCATCATTATCATATGATAAGAAATATATATATTTTCTTAAGCTCGTAATTCATTAAAAACAAAACAGCTGCAAAAATGGTGCAATTTACGAAGTATTTTCTTCGTTTACAAAATTATTTCTATGAAAATAATCCATCAAGTAACTCTTCATGTACATCTTCACCTGCTAAATGGTGTATTGATGGTTATGATGGATATAAATTCTGTATTCAAAATCCTACACTTCTTCCATTATGTATTTTGGCATTATTAATCGGTCTTTTTTGTTCAAAATGTATTTCTAAATTAGCAGGAAAATTTCCATCACGTTGGTTTTATTATTTAGCATTTTTTCTTTATGGTATTATGATGACCTCAGCTGGTATATTACATTGTTTTATAGGTGATCGACAAACGAATGAAGATTCATCGGAAAATATTCGATTATTTATTGTAATTATTGATGTTAGTTTAACAACATGTATTGCTGTTACATTTCTCTTTTGTGGTTTATGTGATATTCAATTTTTAAATCCACAATCAATTTGTACACGTTGTTTACTCTTAAGTTCATATTTTATTCTTTTTCTTTTATGGACTTTAGCAGTAATAAATGAATGGAATCACATAATTTATGCACTTTATGTTGGTGTTATATCAATTTGTTGTTTTGTTTACTTAATTACACAATTATGTATTAAATCAAATCGTCATGCATTACTTGCACTTTTTATGAGTGGAATTTATGCCAGTATTGGTTTAATTGCTGAATCATTTGGTGCGGAATATATTTGCAAATCAGAAGGTCCGTTTTGGTCACAATATTTTGGACCAGAATTTATATGGTGTCTTTTTGCAGATATTAGTATGTCATTTCTATTTATTTACGTTATACAAACTCATAGAAAAGAACAAGGGACTCTTAAAAAACATCCTATTGATATGGAAAAAAATCCTACGAAGTTTTAAATTTGATTCTTTTGTAAACATTAATCTTCTTTTTTTGTAATTCAATAAATAAATGAAAACATTTATTATCTTACATATTTTCTTTTAATCTTTTTATAACTACAGTTCAATGATCTGTTACTAATATTATACCATTATATAGCTCATAGTGCCCCCTAACCAACATATACGTATGGTGATGAAATAATGGAAAATCGTTTCAGGAAAAATGATCAAAGAATACCTCTCTCAACCTGAATTTGAGACCAAAGAGCTATAAATATCTAGCACAAGGAATGAAGACCCTAATGATAGATGTGGGTGTGGGGTGTGGGTGGGTGGGTGTGCGGGGTAGGGGATGGTGTGACTGTGGGTGTGGATGGCGTGTCGGTGTAGGGTGTGTGGTTGTGGATCTTCTCTTCCTCCGTATTATCACCAGCGCCTCCATACTCCATGGCCAGAGCCACAGCCACCCGCACAGTCACACCCAGACACTCACAGCCGAAACCCCGGATACCAACACAGCGGAACATCCAACACCCACACCCACACCCGCACCACACCCTGATCGACTTGTTGGGTTGGGTAAGTTAATCAAGTTCATATTCTTCAATTAAATTATTTATATATTTGTTTAGTTTCTGAAGTTATTCCAAATGATTCATGTCTTGTTTTTTTTGTCCATCAGAAAATTAATTATGAAAATATTGCTCGATTAATTGTTAGGTTTATGCTTGAGTAAGTTTTTCTTTTGTTTCATTATATTTCTCAAATTTTTCTTCAAATTATTTTATAGAAAATTACTTGAAGATAATCGTGAAAAAAGTTCTGTTTTACTTGAGTCATTAATTGAAGTTAATGAAAGTAATCTACGTGATACAGTCAAAACAACAATTTCATATGGTGTTGCTTATCATCATAGTGGTTTAACAGACGATGGTAAATTAGTTGTTTTTGTTTTTGGTTCATACGTTTAATTGATTATTTTATTAATGATTAGATGTGTTCGACATATGAATCATCTTGTTGAATCTATTACAAAAGACTCTTCTTGCTTTACAAGTTGATCGTCTAGATGTTAAGCAGAAAATATGCTTGATAAATGTTTACAATATTTTATTGATACAAAAATTGTTCATGTCAAAGAACAAGAACAAGAAAGTAATGACAATAGTTATGGAAAAACAAAACAAAAAAAAACTTTTTTATGAAACGACAAAATTAGGCAAAGCACCATTGAAAGTTAATACAGAACTATTTGAATTTTTTGAAAGCATTCGATAATGATTGATTACTGGTTTTTTTCTTTATTTCTTCAGGTCATGTGGAATTAGGATTAGCTAGTTCACTGAACAATCATTTAACAACAAGTTTGATTAATATGAATTTGGAAAATCCTTTGCATTTACTCTATATTACAGTACTATCTGATCTACCTAATATGACTATTGGATTTCGTCAACTTGTTGATCGAGTAAGTAGTCTACAATAGGCTCCCAAGAACTATTAATATAATAAGTTTATGTCATTATGTTGGGATGGTCATGACTTAATATTTGTTCATATAAGTGATAATTTAGACATATTCGAGTTGCAAAAATGCATTCTTCCTTTAATATATACAAAAACTTTTTCGGTTTCATAAAACAAGCGATCAAAAATAATGATTTAAGAATGATACCAAAGATGATATTATTGACATGAAAACAGAACTCATTCGTAGTTCGAAGAACAAAACTTGAAAAGGATAAATTTGACAAAATTCAAAGATAAACATGTGCAATTACGACTTGGCTATACGAAATAGCGTAATATCTATTGTTATGTTTATTTCTGATGAAATATGATATAATTAGTTAAAATAGAGAATCAGTGATACCTAATAAATCTAATTATTAAAAAGACTTCGGAATGAAATAAAAAAAAATAACATCCAGAACGATTGAAATATCTTAAGAGTACCAGTTCGTTATCGTAGCCTGTACCTTGTTGAGCAGTAAAAGGAAAACCAGTTGTATCAATTTGATTATCAATTAAATCAACATTCGTGAAAAGAAAAACATTTAGACATATATTTTATATAAATGCATTATAATTAATATATGAAAAAGTTGATAATTGAATCATAAGGATCAGATCATCAGTTGATTATATCTGTCCTAGAAACTTGAAGCATGTATGGAAGAGACATACGAACAAGGGTGAACATCTTTATAAGCTATATTAATAGGCACACTTTGAACAAGATTAAACGAAGATTTATCTGAAAGAATAAAGGAAAAGTCTAATTTGCTGATATGGTAGTCTCAATTCGATCTTCTCCATTAATATGTAATAGTAAATTTGCTATACAAATGAGGGACTGATATTTTTATTGTTATTTAAATATAAGAAATGAAAAATGAAGAAAAACTTGTATTCAAATTATTAGAAATTGATGAAACATTTTTGCATAAATAAAACTGTTGGTTTATCAGCACAACAAGTATAAATGAAAATAATACTTTGTAAATAAATGATTTTGTTTTTATGTTTAGAAAATAAGCAAAGAAATAATGTTACGTTTTTATATCGTTATGATATTATATGATCTATTCAAAAATAAAAAATTTTATGATATTGCTTAATTTTGAGATCAATCTCGTGGTACAACTCATGATCATCAATTATGTAAGTTATGCATAATAATAAAAATAATAATCTTACTCTTTTGTTTTCATAAATTTCAAGTATCGATGTTCATTCAACGATTAACATTTTCTACATCATTAGAAATTCTTCCGACTATGAAAATTCCAGGAATAAAACGAGCAAAAAAATTTACTATGTTTTCATGTTTGATATTTTTTTAAATTAACGAAAAAAATAATAGAATCATACTTTACAATTAGTTCATGCAGGTTTACCGTACACTTCGAAGTTTAGCAAAAGCTCAACCTGATCAGCTTATAAAAGCTGTACTTAATTTACCATTATGAACAGCACAAATTCTTGTTAAACATTCAAAAATAATCAATTTTATTTCATTTATAAATTTTTTATATTTTCTCTTTCAGCGTTTACTTTATGAACAAGCTGAAGATTTACGAGATCAAGCAGTTGAAGTAGTCGAAAATATTGAATAAGAAAAATATTTATTATTACTATTTTTTTTTTTATTGTGTATATTCGACTCGTCAGATGAAGTATGAAACAAAAATATATTGGTGAATAAAAATGAACCAAGATAAAATAATCTTTGTATTTACACTAGTCTACTGTCGAAAAACCTTTTATTCATTTACTAAGAAGGTTATTGAATAAAATGTCAACTTATGAACAAGAACTAAACTATTTTAACAACAGTTTAAGAACTCTCACATATGGATTCAACAAAGTTTATAGATAAGTTTCCATCTATTAGTTCGAACAATTTTTGTGGAACTCACATATATTTTCGAAGAAAATAGTGAGTGTAAGTTTTAAGTTCGAGGTTTCGCGGCTCCCCCCTCCCCCCATTAACCAAATGAAAATATGATTCCTTTTTAAAATGAATTTAANATACCTCCTCATTAGCAGAACGGCGAGGTCTCCTAATTGCCGTTACTCCGTTACCAGTTACCTGGTAACATAACGCTAAATTCCCACCCCTAATTGTACTTCATTGCAGTTTAACGTATTTCACTATACTTTAAAATACTTTAAAGTACTTTAAAGTATTTTAAAGTACATTAAAGTACTTTAAAGTACTTCACCGCACTTTACGTACTTTAAGGTACAAAAGTACGATGTTTCCCCCTTGCCTCAAGTCCTATATTATTAGGGTACTCTTAGGTCCTGAAGTCCTACATTAGAGAGTACTCTTAGGTTCTCAAGTCTTATGTTATGAGGGTACCCTTAGGTCCTCAACTTGAGGACCTAAGGGTACCCTCCTAATGTAGGACTTGAGGACCTAAAGGTACTCTCTAATGTAGGACTTGAGGACTTAACGGTACCCTCCGAATATAGAACTTCAGGGCCTAAGGGTACCCCTATTATATAGGACTGGAGGACTTAAAGGTACCCTCCTAATATGATTATCCAAGACTATGTCAACATATCTACTTTAACTTTAATTGGTTAAGTTAAAGTTTAAAGTGCGTTACTTTAACTTTAAACTTTAACTTTTAAATTTTAAAGTATCACTTTAAACTTTAAAATTTTAAGTTTAAAGTACCCCTTTAACTTTAATTTTTAAAGTTAAGTTAAAGTAACACCCCTATACAGGATAAATAATTAAATATAGTGAAGAGACTTGACACAAACGGCATCGTATGTTAAGTTCAGTAGTTCAGTGGGTTGATGTAGCAAACTGTCACTGAAACCCAAACACAATACCCACACCCGCTGCCCTAGCACCGCGCGCAGTGCCAGGTCCCCTGAGAATGCATACGCGCACTCTACAGTAGGGAGCAACTGTGAGATCAGACCCGTATTCAACGAGATCTAAAGGGAACTACGAGAAAAATAGTTGTTACAGCTGCAACTAAAGTTTATATAGTTAAATATTATAAGATTTTAAGTGTACAAATAAAAAACATTAGTATTGAAGAAGTTTTTAGGTGTGATAAGGTTTTAATTCCAGAATAGTTTTCTCTAGACCGTGGAAATTTTTTCACTTCAGATATTTTGTATGAATATAATGAGAGTAAAGAACACATGTGACTTTCACATTCTCTTCCTTAACGAGATGCCCTGACACAATCTCTAGTGTTGTTTAAGTAAAATTATTCTTACTAAAGAAACTCAACAATTCGGAAAACTTTGTTCAATTGATGGTCATGCACGTATCCTCATTATCATCGATTTTAATATAATCAAATAGTACTCATCATCATAAAAATAATAAAACTGATGCTCTTTATCCGTTAGCTAAAGCAATTTTTGGTTGATTGATGTTTACTTGATAGAGTAAAACAACAAAAAAAAAATAAAATGTACAATTTTTATTTTAATCCTCATTTATTCAAACATCACTTGAAAATTCAGACATTTAAATTAATTAATATTGAATAAATATATATACATGTATTGAAATTCTAGTGATCTTTATAAAGCAAAGACACTATCAAGACGAGCTTTTTCATTCAGTCCAGAGCCTAATAAACATTTAACAAAAAAAATGCATTGTCTAATTCATTTATTTCAATATGAGCGGTCGAATAGTTTCGATTTAGGTAAGTATTTCAAATGAGAAGTTCTCATAATTAAACTAAAACACATTCAGAAAATTTCGATTCATTTAACAACTGAAAGGAATTGAAAATGCGTATACCCATACAGTGGATGTGAGTGTACGTGTGGATGGCTTAACAGAAAAGCAACATACACATCCACACCCCATAACTCTGTTACTTCAAAAGACTTTGAGATAATGGAAGTTTTAAAAGTGCACTACGTCCCTCTCTGAAGGGCAGCAGATCTGGATTTTTGCTCCAAGATCAGGTAGCTTTGGTCACCCTGAGTCGAGTCAGCTGATTCCAAGTGCACTTATGAAAAAACCGCAATGTATCCTGGTGAAAACAAATTTCGGTTTTCACCAGTAGTATATAACTGTGAGAATCGGATCATGTGTTCGGTGTTCTAAAACCCGCCGATATCACGATTATTTTCTTACCGCGATTTTTTGCGTGATTTTTTCCGTGCTTATCTCTTATCGAAAAATTAGTTTTCTACAAATTACAATATCTTTTCTAAAAATTAAAAACAATTTAATTTTACTTAAACGTAATTTTCTTTATCTTCACAAATGAGAAAGTGACTGTTTTGACTGTGAGTGTTATTTAGACGATCTTCAATGACAGATTTTGTTTCTTCATTAACTTTTTAATTAAGTAATAATTTTAAAGTTATTAAGCATCAAGTAATGGAAAAGTGAACAACAAGAAATAACTTCATGTTGACTTTTTTTTTAGCGTCGCTAATAAAGCTAAAACTTTGATTTGGATCCGTAGCTCCCTACTGTGGTCAATTTTTTGAATCAGAAAACAAAAAAAAACAAAGGTATCAGTGTTTTTTTAAAATAAGTCGATAAAATAAACAGCTATGTAACTGTTGTTTTTTGCAAGATAGAAATATTCGATCTAAATATAAAAATAAGCAATAAATTTTTATCTAGAAACTAATACAATTTGATGATTTTCTATTTCTTTTATTTAATATGAAAAAAATTGGCCTATTATCTGGAAATAATGTTTTTCTTTTGTTTTGAAATGTTAATTTCATCAAAATGGTTTATTATTAACAAATTTATATTTTTCCTTGTAATAAATTTCGAATCATTTCACGACCCGAAAGACGAATTGTATGATAAAATGTACTAAAATCTAGAGTTGAAGTTAATGTATCCGCTAAACCAAATGGCATCATTGGTGGTATCCACCCACGTGCATATTCAAGTGCCCAACATCCACGATGCATTTTAAATTGTTTCGATGTACCTTTTGGTAGATAATGAACACTGCCAACTTGATAAACTTCTTTGTCTAATGAACCAGCTGAAAATGCCCATTGCTCACCATACAATATATGAAAATAATCATCAGCTGTATGTAAACCAGTATGACCTTCAGTACCAAGTGGTGTTCCAAATATAATAAGATATTCTGTAAGCGATGCATGTATAATAAACATAGCACCCATAGCTCCTCCAGCATTATTAAATACCCATTCTTCTTTGTCTGTTAAATATTTTTTACCAGTTGTTTTACCTAATTCAGTAACAATATAATCAATTACTGGGCGTATTGTATTAGGACTTTCTTGAGCTATTGGAATTAATTTACCATCGGTAATATTCAAATGTCCATTTGCAATTAGAGCTCGTTGAGCAAGTGTATGTAGTTGTTCTGGATCGAAAATATAGAAACGTGTTTTTATTGAATCAATGACACCAATGATAACAGCTAAACAGACGACAAAGAAACTTACTATCAAAAATACTCGTTGTTTAGACATAACGATGCAGCAATGGATTATAAATCTGAAAAATATGTATTTGAATATTTCATCAATGTTAAAGTGAGATAGAAAATGGTATGACCACATGTGTCATTTTATATCACTATTTTTTTGTCGTTCGTTCATAACACGTCATCGTTCTCTTGCTTTGCTCTGTTTTTTTCGTTTATTTATTATGCATTATAGGTACACACCTTATTTTTCAAATGATATTCTTTATCAAATATTTGTTTGCCTCTTCCCTTAAGAACATTTATATGAAAAAAGTTTCTCAAGTTGAAGATCGAACCATATTTTTAAAAAGTACTTTCTTTTTTATCAACATGATAATAATCATACTGGAACTGAGGTATATTAACGCTTTCAAATAAGAATCAAGCGAAATATTTAAATCAAAACAATATCTTAATCAAATTTCGATTATTCATTCTATTAGAAAATATGAACCCTTGTTTTTATTTGAGCATTCCGCTTGAATAAAGATTACACGGAATCCTACAATAAATAGTGATGTATACTTATATCTAAATATCTTCATATATTGTTAATAAGTTTATGATTATCAAATAATTATTTCTTAGTTTCATTATATTTTTTGTGTTGTGTACATATCTCCATGTAACGTTAAATTTTACGCCCTCTATTCTCTGTTCATTGGTATTCATTACATTTTCGATAAATATTCGGTACAGTGTGGAAAAGTGAAATATTGGATTTTTTTCTTATGTTTCCTTTGTTCTTCTAACTAGTAAGACTTACTTTTAAAGTCAAATGTTTTAAAGTAGTAAGGAGAATATCAATTTAAAAGTGTGAATTCGCTTGTAATTATTTACTAAATACATCAAATTCTGGTTGAGAGATAAAATCGTCGTCCAACACCTATTTACTTTCATATAGAAGCATTTAATCACACCATAATTCTCTTTGAATATTTAGTCTTTTTGTTTACAGTTCATTGTTCGTCTAAGTCCTGTCGAATCACAATATAAACATGAATTGATCGTTTAACAAAAAACGATCATGATCGCAGCATCGAATTTCCACATTGTATCTTGTGATATATTTTTTTTTGTTTAATTGACATAAGGAACAAATCAAGGAAAAACAAGAAAATAGTTTTATTTGAATAAATCTATCCAAAAATTGG